ATCCAGCAGGTTTTAAATAAGGCTGCTTCTTTTACCACAGATTGGGAATAATTTCACCGTGATCAATAAGGCAGGTGTTCACTTAAATCAAGTAATTTAGTGATCATGTGACCCAACTCTGAGTGTCCTTCAGTCTCTATGGTCCACAGTTTTGTTAACTAACCAGCACACCTGCTTAAATAATTAATATTGCTCAAGTGCTCCCAACAGGTAAAAACTCTAAGAGTGCCTGGTTTGGGGGCTCTCCAGGATCCCTGATTGAAGCAATATGGACAAATCTAACCTAAAAGCCATGCCTCTGGACTCCATTCTTTAAATATTGTATTAATGCAGTTTTAATAACATCGAAATGCAACAAAATAAGTTAGCCAAATTTAAACAGTTAAAATCCCTGAATTAAATTTCATTTAAAAAAACATACAGAGCATCAAAGAGTCTTACACTTGGGGATGTGATAAACTTACAAAGTAAGCAGGTGAAAGTCGTCTTGGTAGCAGATTGATGGATGTGACACAGGTAAATTCCTTTTGTTGATTAACAGGTGTGATCAAGGGGCTGTTCTGGGAAAGGCACAAGCTAGCAGCTTACCTCGTGGGTACTGCCACAGGAAAATCAACCCGCCTTAAACTGGGCTTCTTCATGCCTGCTCACTGGTCTCGGAGCCATAGAAGCCACACAGCACCCCAGCTCACCCCACAAATGTTCAGTGGGGCTCAGGTCTGCCAAGTAGGACGCCTGCAGCACAACTGTCACGTTCTCGTCTTGCAAAAAACGAGCACCACGAGGGTGGGCGCCGACCTCCTGGAAGGCTGTGGTGTCAGGAGGAGCCCACAGGAAGGGCTGGACTACAACTAGACCCTCCTGTCCAGACCGTCGGACCTTGACAGCCCCATCAAGTGCTCGGTTGTACACAATTGGGGAATCGTTCCGCCCCTGTACCTCACTCCCTGGTGGCCAGCAGGGTGTCCACACAGAGCCCTGCTTCATTTCTATAAGGGACTGCAGGCGAGTGCACCCGAGATGTTGCTTCAAGAAACTGAAGGCACTGTCTCTTGACAAGCAGTGAATACTGGTTCCCTTCTGTGTTGTACTTTCTTCTTTTCCGCCAGGCTTGACACTGAAGAGGATAACTCCCTGCATCGCCAGTGTCCGATGAACTCACTCATGACGAGCTGACGTCAATTGCTAATTCAACAGTCCAAGTCACCCGTGTGCGTTTCAGTCCATTGGTCAAAATGACGTCAAAAGCATTTAGTCAATTTACAAAATTGGATTTATCCAAAAAGATGCATTTGGGAATAGAATTCTAGAAAAAACTAAGTTTCTTTTGATGCTCAGTTTAGTGTATAAAAAACGTATACATTTCTAGCTGCTTTCAGACAGTCCAGGTGACTGAAGTCATTAAAACCAGGCATGAGGCATTGGTACCACATTACAATATTCTATCTGGCTTATTAATTAGAGTTAAAATGGCATCAATCTGCACCCAGCCCACTCTGCTCCATTGAAGAATTTTGCCCAAAATAAAAAAACAGCCCATTTTCTTTCATGGCTGTAGAACAGGACAATATAGCAATTCAGGTTCTCAGTGCAGCACAGGAGCGTTACGCCACGCCCCCAGAGGGCTCGGCATTCCACCTTGCATTCCAATTAGCCAATTTATCCCATCTTATTTAATGCTGCTTCACAGTCTGCCCTGCGCTCAGTATTGAGGTTCTTCCTGGCTAGAGCTACTCCCATTCTTGCGGTTACTTTCTACTTGGTTTTTTGGCTTCCTGATCCTGGTTTGTTTTTTGACTACGTCTCCTGGTGTTTTGGTTTTGGTACTTTGATTCTCGCTTTGGTTTCGACTCTCGGCTTCCTTACGGCTTATGGCATCGGTTCTGGTTTTGTACTCTTGCACCGGCCTGTCAACCCTCGGCTTTCAGACCTTGGACTGTTCTATCAACCATACTTCTGGAAATCGCCCTGGGTTTCTGCATAGGGTCCTCACTACTGAGTCGTAACGAGGAGAGGCTGTGTGAGTCGGCGCAGAGAATCCTGTGCCCAGGGGACAGTGGGAGAGGACTGAGCCATCGAGGGGAGAGAGGGACTGGTGTCTAACTGGCTAAACAGATGAGCCAAAGATATTATTACTATCATCATCATCTGTACACTTATATAGCGCTTTACTGGACACTCCTCTAAAAGCACTTTACAGGCAATGGGGACTCCCCTCCACCACCACCAATGTGCAGCCCCACCTGGATGGTCATCAGTCTGCTCACCACACATCAGCTATCAGCTGGGAGAAGAACAGAGTACAGAAGCCAATTCATAGACTGGGATTATTAGGAGGCCATGATTGGTAAAGGCCAATGGTAAATTAGGCCAATGGTAAATTTGGCCAGGATGCCGGGATTACACCCCTACTCTTTTCGAGAAACGCCCTGGAATTTTTAACGACCACAGAGAGTCAGGACCTCGGTTTTACGTCTCATCCGAAGGACGGCACCTTTTTAAAGTATAGTGTCTCCATCAACTAGGGTATTAGGACTCACACAGGCTGTAGAGTGAGCACCCCCTACTGGCCCCACTAACAGCTCCTCCTGCAGTAACCTTCGTTTTTCCCAGGAGTCTGGCCAGGCTCCCACTGCTGAGCTACAGCTGGTTGCCAGTTGTGAGTAGCAGGGTGATATGGCTGCTGGCTATAAAGGCTCTCTAGTACTGGTCCTCTTGACACCAGTGTCTGCTGCTTCTAGGTCCAGCTGGACTCAGTTTACTTATTTGTGTGGGTAGGCAACTTTCACATCTCTCACAGCTGAAAACAATTCAAAAGTCTGATTGGTCCAATTATTAGTTTGATGAAGGGTGCAATTAAATAATCAAGACCTTAACTGGCACAAAAACCAGCAGACACCAGGGTCACAGGGCCCTGGATTGTTTAGCTCTGGCCTGTGTCAGGGGTCAGGGGTTAATGGTCAAGGGTCAGGGGTCAGCCAGGAGACGGGGGGTTCAAGGGTCCGAGCGTGCAGCAGCCTTGCCGCCTGGGACGGGGCGTGCGAAGATCTCGCGCAGGGAGAGCTCGCGCTCACACTCGGGCTGCCCGCGGTGCCGGAGGTAGCGGGCCTTGCGGGCCTCGGACAGCGCCTGCGGGAAGCTGGGCAGGGTGTAAACCGTGCGGAGTCGCCCGTCGGGGGCCAAGGCTTCGGGGTCTGGGGCCGGGGGGGGCTCCTGCTCCCCCTCCCCCCGAGCGGAGCTGCTCAGCCGAGCCGCTGTCTGCGCTCTGACGTCCGGCAGGCAGAGCGGGGCTGCGGAGCTCTCGCCCAGCGACCCCCTGTGGCTCCCCCCAGCCACGAACTCCCGAACCCGGGCCTGCAAGCCCAGGGCAGGGCCCTCTGTCCGCAGAGGAAGGGCCTTCTGGGACCTACTGGGAGGAAGACAAAAGACAGACAAATAAAGAGCCAGACAGCAACGAACGCTTCAGGAAGCAGAAAGTCTTTAGCTCTGGTTGACGACTCGGAGCCCTGTAGTTAACGGGCATGGGGTGGAAAGCCCAGCTGGATGCCAACCGGGTAACAGAGAGGCACCGTTAATATTTAACTGACACCAGAGACAGAGGGAAAAGACAAGGCAGAGAGAGAGAGTGCTTTGGTCGTAGCCTTTCTCTGCACCAGACAAAACACAGAGCGCCGGTATTATGTCTTGATTTTTGGTGGTAAACACGGACTACCTACGTAAAATGTGCCAACCCTGTCTCCGTATTGCAGAGTCTCGCAGGCGTTTTCACCAGCGGCCACGCGCCTGCTTGTAAGCCGAAGACAGTCACGCTGCCCTGACCTGTTCGAATCTGAGCCACAGCAGTGAGCCGCCGAGGAAGGGAGAGTGTAGGAGGGAGGGGAGGTTGATAGTGTTGGAGCACATTAACGCCGAGCCGCGCAGGAAAGCGAGAATCACATCCAGGGGCCAGGAGCCACAGCTCAGGGTGCTGCTTAATTATCGGAGTCAGTGAGCTGAGAGACAGGGGCAAGACCGACTCCCTCCACAGACCCGTTAGGGCACTCAGGAGCACACTCATGTGAACGACATCTCTGTGCAACAGCCAACTCACTGCCCGGACTGAGTTTACAGAGAGGGGTAGGAATGGCTGACTGAGGGACAGATTAATTCTGCAATGTCAGCTTCTGTGCATCGCGCAGTCATGCTTTCTTTCACTTTCTGGTGTCACTCACAAATTATTTCATGCAGATCTAAGGGTAGGTTTGCAATTAGCATTTATTGCTAATAAGAAAACTGTCTGATCTATCACTGAGAAAAATACTGCAGAGAGAAAGGCAGAAACTGTTTATATTTCTTGTGTCCAGTGGTGACATTTAATTTCTATTTTTAGTTGAGCAACTAGCTGAAAAATATCAGCAAGCCAACATCTTTGCCCTGTTAAAAATCGCTTGTCACCATGAAATTGCTAGCACTGCCACAGACTATAAACTGACAAGTGCAGGTTAAGAAATGTCCTTGTCAAACCAACGGCATGGATTGATAGCAATAAGAGCCAATTTTGAAACCATGCTAACATGAGTACAAGCGGACTGAAATATGTAGGTGATCCCGCACTACCAGAAACTGATGTTCACACAGAAGCACACAAACACAAACTGTCACGCAAAGAACAAAACAGAAATGCACAGATATATAAAGAGATTAATACAAGATTTATATGAATGTGAAACAGCACACATACAGAGGCACACAATCACAAAACTGCACTAATCGGGTTGAAAGGGGTCACTGACTTCAATAGATCACCCTCCGCTCACCTCAAACTGTTCGGTTCTTTGCCACCCTGGGGGATTGTGGGTAGGAAGGCTCTCTTGTAAGGCGGCACTGGGCGATCAGCGACAGGAAGTGGGTCGTGAGGTCGTGACCCCAGGCTGGGAACCATCTTTCTCCAGGAGTTACCTGAGGTCAAAAGCGCGTGTCACTGCAGTCCACGACCAGCCCCTCCGCGGAGTCGTACCCGGGGGGCGGCGGCCAGGCGGAGCCTGTCCTCACCGTGCCTCAGGGCGCCCAGGTCCCTCTGCAGCCGGCGCTGCTCTCTCAGCAGGCTGTTGACGTGGTAGAGCCGGGCCGCCTCCAGCCGCTGCAGCCCCTGCGCCAGCCTGGCCTCGCCGCGCCGGGCCTCGCGCCACTCCTCGTCCAGCCCGCGCATCGTCGCCGGCAGGAGACAGAGGGGGAGAGTGGGCGGCAACTCCCAGCAGGAGCTGTTCACAACCAATTGGATATTTACTTTATTTATATAGTCTTCTTTTTCATCATACATGCCAGTTCCATATGTGCCAATGGGATCTGGTTGTGTTATGTGTATTGTATATCGCGCTACGTCTTTTACCTACCTAAAGTCCCCATCTGGGACAATAAAAGGAAGTGTTTTGTTCTGACCAGCACAGCTCCACAACTCAGCTCTTCATTTGAACTGTTCACTGTTTCCAGCTCAGAAACGTGCGAGAGGTTGCTTTTTGCTGATTGCATTTCATAAGTAACATGAAATATTCCGCTGGAAATGGGAGTCTGAGGCTCTGCACGTGTGTGTGGTTTTAGCTGAGCCAGGCCCAGCTGTGAGTCTTGAACATGGGGCATCCCCGACTCCCCGCCACCAGCGATTAAAGCAGCAGTGAGGGCTTGGCCCACCTTTCTCAGCGCTCCCCCGTGTGCACGGCCGCCCCCTATACATGCCCAGCGCAATAACACCTGAGCCTTCGGTGAGAGCCCAGCGAACACCTGGCGCCCCTGTGGGAACCTGATATCTACCCACAGTGCCCACTGAAAGAAGAAGTCAGGTGCCTGAAAGGCATGATTCTGCAACACAAAGAGGAAAGGCACTCCATCGTGTTCTGAGGGGTGTCCCGCCCTCTGCAGCCAGAGGGCGCTCCTTCTCTGTGTTGTCTCTCATTTCCGGTTATTTGCTGTCCTTCCGGTGTTTCTCTCTCTCTCTGGGGCTATATATTTCCGGGTCTTGCACTCTGCCCTGGCTCAGCATTGACGTTTAGATGTCCTGAGACCCGCCTAGCACCAGGTGGCCCCACGTCCGCTACCTGAGGGCATAGGTTTCTATACGGCATTTCCTGAACAGCTGAGCCTGGGCTAACCCCCGTCTCGGTCTAATTGCTCTCCTGCCATTCTACGGTTCGTCCTTTCCGACACCCGTGACAAGGGGACATGGAGACTGCAGTTCACAGAACGTCCTCGTCCACCTCCCTTCTCGCTCTGCTGATTGTCAAACCCTGCCAGGATCTTTAGCCAGTCCTCCCTGGATGCTTTCTAAGCCATTCAGACAGGTAGAGACACAGAAACAGGCTTTCTTTCAAAAGTCTGGGAGGGACAGACCAACATAACTAAGGACGGGCTTAATATTATGTAAATCAACACCAATTATCATCTTTTTAACAAACACAATGTCTTTTCTTTAAAAAAAAAAACATTTATGTTTTTCCAAATTAATATCTGCTCCTGCTAGCTCTCAATCAACTCACCCAGGACAGATTAAAAGAATATTTTACTCTTCCTCTTCCTACAAGATGAGCGCTATCAGGTGTTCAACTCTTTTTCAGTCCAGGTTGCACAGAGTTGTTTGTGTGAAGGAAAGGCACACATACAGGAAAACAGAGTTTGGGTTACTGCTGGTTTTCTCATCTGCAGACTCTGGCATCACATTAGACACTGGATACTACAGCTCTGACTCTTTTCTTTTTTGCACAGATGAGTGTTATCCTGAAATGAGGTTATGATACACATGGAAGACCTGCAGATGATCCAGCTGCTTAGCAATGGAACTCTTTGTCAGATTCTCTGTATTGGCAGAAATATTTTACATTACAAACGTACAGGCACACTTTTAAGTCACCAAAGTGTATTCAGATTCTATTTGATGCACAGTTTATAGCCATCCATCTGTTTTTTAAACAGCTTTATGCAATTCAGGCACAAGGGGGAGCCGAAGCCTATCCCTGCAAGCAACGAGCACAAGGTTGGATACACACTGGACAGGACGCCAGTCCATCAATAAGAATATTAAATGATTTTATGAATTATTATGTGACATCTTCCAGGTCCCGTTCAAACTATCTGCTCTGAAAGGTGTCTCGGTCTTGGTAGTCAGGAAGAGTTTTCGCCGCTGGGACTGACTTTAGCCTTCACTGATCCTATCAAACTCTCGCAATGCAGGTATGCGGCACTACTGCGCAGGAAAATCACTGCGAAACTGCAGCGAAAAACGCTGGACATCTCCACACGACAGGCAGAGATCCGAGATCTCATTTGAAACAGAAAACAAATGAACTGCAGAACCCAAACTTCGGGGGGCGCTGCTGAGTGGCGATCTGAATATCGATACACCCCAAACTAACCCGAGAGACCCTGAGCTTCTGTGAAGCTAGACGCGGAATCCGTAAGTGCAATTTATGTATATAAACGTAAACCGAACATTTCGTTTTAATTTTGCAAGCAACACAAACATGGCTAAATACTTAATGTGGCTCACTGTATTCCAAAAAACTTTCTGGAAACTTTTTTTCAGAACATGGCACAAGATGTGAAAGATTGTGACACAAGATTGTGGCACAAGATTTTTTTTTTTTTTAGCCACGTCGATTACAGTGCACAATTCCACAAACTTTTCTTGTATATGAACATACTCCACAGCACTTGCCTTCCACAAATTAGAATATTAATTTGCAAGGACGAATGACACTGACGTTTTAAAATGAGATATATTACACGATGATGAATTATTGATGAAAACCATGAAAGGATAAATATAGAAATGTATCAGAATCGAGCCAGGCGATACTGTGGTCTGGTGATACAACAACGTTAACTTTTTTATCATTTGTTATCATTGTTAAGAACAAGTCTACACTTCTTTGACAGAATGAAGGCCGTTGGTTTAAAAGCTTTGAGGACACAGTCGCTAGGGTATCTCTTTTCCAGTTAAGAAATACACTTCCGAAACTCTCCTTACCTTTACGGCACCACGGGACCGCGGGAGTACTCCACTTCTGCGCTGCCGAATCACAACCCCCTACACCCCCCTTCAAGGAAACTGAAGACTCAAATTCTGTTACCAACACGGTCCGCAGAAAACACAGAAGTTTTCGGTAGGGTGTTTCAAAAGATGCATTGTCGTAATAATAAAAGGGGTTTTTAAATCTGATAGTTTCAGACTGCTGGGAAAGCTGGCCAGGGAGCTTGCGGTCTGAGTCCAGGAGCGTCACGACACACTAGCCCCGTTCTCGGACACTGCTCACGATCGTCCTGCCTCCGTGATGTACAGGACTTCCTCCACCTTTCACAACAAAAGCGAAACTGCTGGGCAATACTACCAGTGCTCAGGAAAGTTACACGCAGTAGTCCATTACACAGGACAAGCGTCTCAGTCATCCCACGGGTTTAGTGAGCTGTTCCTTTACAGATTCCAAGAAATCGAATTTTACAACTCGATTAAGACACTTGCACCCCCCTGTCCTTGGCAACTCTCAAAGTAGCTTCTGGTTTCTGTCTGTGTAACTGTGTGATTTAAATACAGGCGTTCTGAGGAGTAGAACACACGCCAAAGTATTTTAAGATGAAACATTTGGAATTGCAAAACACAAAATATCTTCTCACGACGGAGGTAGTTTGTCACAAAGGGAATGTGGCAACAAGGAGAATGTGGCTGATCGATTTCTGTAAGCAGTGGTTATTTATTTTAATTGATGAATTATGACCTTAACAGGCCCACACAGAATTCTTAGTGCCTTATTACAAAGATGTCGTCGATAGCGCACAAAACGTTAACGGGAAAGGGTTTACATCCTGCTGTAGAGGTATGTGTATTCGTTCAATTTTTCATGACAGCAAAAAAGGTGCAGAAGGTAAGCATTGCCATTTAATTAAAATATCAGGCGTTTTTGTTTAGTCGATATATTACTATACAGAGACGTAATATTACTGTGTTAGTTTCAGAAGGCTAATATCTCGGCGTTTCCGAAGTATGGATTTCAAATACGGTACGTAAAAGACTTCATGTAACCGAAACTACCTGTATCTGTGTATCGATAGGCACTAGGGTCTTTTTTTACTTTCCTCCCCGTAGCTGTACAAAATGTTTTTACAACTAAAAATGGCAGCATGAACAATGCACATTCTAATTCTCCACTACTGTCGGGAGAAATCGGTTACTTGTTTGGCTACTTTATTATTCAAATAATCTGCCTTTTCTATTCTGCAAACTGTAGAACTGGTATGTTGCGTTTTTCTGAACTTGTTCTATATTCCAGTGTGAATGTATATTTGGGCGTTGGGATAGCCATATTTCTCAGATGTGTTTGAGATGTGGTGTGTGCTGTTATATTTTAGCTGGTCTAACGCTTCAAATTGTGTGTACATTGATGCATTTTGTATATGAGTCATTCCTATACTGTAAATTATTACATTCATTTTTACTGATGGTTGTCGTTACCACCTTGTTGCCTGATCTGGTCAGATCTCGGGAGCCGAGCTAGGCCAGGGCGCCTGGTCAGTACCGGAATAGGAGAACGATTCCAAGGAAAATCCAACTGCAGCCGATAGACCAGTAGGTGGACCAGTAGTTTTCCCTCTGGATCAGAACTCCCATACCAGTGTCCCAGTATGGTGATGGGGGACAGCGTGCCGTTGGCTGAGGTGTTATCCTGAGGCCCTGACTGCTTGCTCAGTAATGAAGTACGGTGCTGTTAAATTCCACTTTTCCACTTTGGGTTTGAACTGTCTGGCCTCCCTTAACCCCCGGCCCTCCTTAGTTAAACTGATGAAGTTAATTTCTGCAGCTGGTCTGCAGTGGATGAAAGGGGTCCCCTTCTGTGTATAACTTTCTACTATTCAGTAATGCCAGCATGGTAGTATGTCTAGAAATGGGTTGCCCCAGTAACCCCCTCCTTTTGTCAGCCTCTGTTTCCATGCCTCAGGCTGTGCAAATGCCCAGACCTGTGACCTGTGCACCAGATCAGTGCACGGTCACTCATCACAGAAGACCTGTGGGAGACCAGTGCACCGTCAGCCATCACTGTGCTGCAGAAGACCTGTGTGAGATCAGTGCACTGCCAGTCGTCACAGAAGGCCTGTGTGAGATCAGTGCACTGCCAGTCGTCACA